ATGGAGTGACCTTCACTTTTTATCGAGGACCATTCATCATCAAAACGTTCTACTCCATATTACAAAATACGTTTTTGATCTTTAATTCTACGAAAAAAAATCAACCTCAATTATGCTTTGCACCTTCTCTTGGGCTATAAGAAATTGACTAGAAGATAATAGGATGTTTCCGTGTTATCTCTCATTCAATTCTTCTCCTTAGCTTTTCTTTAGGTAGCTTTCAAGGAAAATTAATAATATATATGTGTGATTTCTGTGATATTTCTTTTTGTTAGAACAACTGACACTTCTCTTTTTTTTCGTAAAATTTCCAATAATGAAAATGATATCTTAATTTTCATTTTCTTAGTTATTTTATCATTGATATATCTAATCATTTAATTATGAGTTTACCTGCAATATTACAAATATAACATTATAGATACTAAATAAATAAATAAATAAAATTATTACTCCATTCAATGGTTGGTTTTGATTTATTACGACTAGAAAAACACAAAAACCTGTTGATTGATTTATTAGCAAAACCGAAGGGGTGATACTTGCTACGTGTCAGTAGAGGAAGCTCAAGTGTCCAAGCGGGTGCAAATGGGCGAGTTTCCTTCGCAGCCTTCTTGTGTTCGACTCTTAGATCTCCTTCTCTCGTAATATTAATAGATAAGTATTTTTGTTAAAAAAATATTTAAGATTAAATTAAAGATTTTTTTGAATAAAGATGTGATAAATATATATTTTATAATAATTTTTATTAATAATATAAATAATAATTTTGATTTAATTGATTAATTAATTAAAATTATTTATGTATCAAGAGTATTAAAATATATATCAATATTTATAAATTTTAAAATAAATTAATTAAAAAATATATATTTATTACATTTTTAATCTATATATTTATGACATAAATTAGACAAATTCAATTATAAAATAATTAATGAATTAACCTTATTTTAATATTTTATTAAATACTAATTATATGTTCAGATTATCGGGGATCGTTACGGTAAAGAACACTGTCTGGTAACCTGGATAATTATCTCTCTTTTTTTTTTTTTTTTTTATTTATAATCGGACTTTGTGCTCTCTTTTAAGGTCCACAATCATAGATAAAAAAGTTCAACTTTCAAGTGAAATGGACTTTCCAAACCCATGGCCTAATTAGGCCCTTTGCTCCAACAAAAAATTCAAGCCTAAAAAATACTGGGCCTTGTAGCCCACCGGAGGCACCCAATGGTCAAAAAGCAAAAACTCAAGTCCTCACTTCTCGCATGCGGCGGTCTCATCCTCGCAATTCTCTCCGGTGAGAACTCAACTGTTAATCTCTCTGCGCCGTGTCCCGTAAGTCTACCTTAATCGGTATTTTGCTTCCATCTATGAACAGATGCGGTCGGAAGATTAGGATTATGCTTCCATTTTTCTCTGATCGGAAAACTCGTGTTTGCAGTCGAACGAGGAGATCTCAGTCAATCGATCGAGTAAATTAGCAGAGATGGGAGGAGCTGAGCATGGACATGGACATGGAGCTGAGGATTTTAGGACGAAGGTCTGGAGCATGTCGGGTGGTCCATACTGCCGGCCCAAGCACTGACGTTGCAACACCGCCATTGCAATGTTCGGTGGCTTCCTAATTTGCATCCCAATCGCTATGAAATCTGCCGAGCTTGAGGTCTAAAATTTTCACTTTTTAATTCCTTATTGTTGATTGTTAGCAGCATGTTTATGCCTTAATGATTTTGATAACTTGAGTTGGCTTGCCTTATATACATGGAGCCTCTCTGCGAGCAATACTTGTTGACAAAATAGCAGTTTGGATATAACTTATCATTCTGGTCATCTCAGATCAGGTGTTGGAACATATGGGTGTTACAGGCTTGAGATCCTAATTGCGGTTATAAGTAT